CATGCCGGTGTATTAGTCATACTTTATTGGCACGGTGTTGTAAAATTATCTTCATTATTTTTTTTAGATTATCTAATAGTTTGTTTCATAAGCCGTACGACACAGTAAAGAAAATACGGTAACCCAAATTTTCATGCCCTACTTTTATACATATATAAAAAGACACTGAATAACTTTAGGGCCAGTTATAATTACATTGAATATTTTTAAACACAGACTATTCATTAGGAGAAATTAGTAACACTAATAATAATTTATCATATAAATGCTAACAATTAATTAACTGCAACGGTTATTATTATTATTATCAGTAATAATTTCCAATTGACCATCTATAAAATTTTATCCCAAATCTTTTATCTATGGAATTGTAACAGATAGATTATTGTGGTTTTGTTATAATGACCCATCTTTACCTCATTAGGAGGAAGTTGCCAGAGTTGCGCACGGAACCCGTTTCTTAACGATCCCTTTGTATTTGTGATTAGAGTAATGAATATCTTCTAGTGATGCTTATTATTTTCACTCTAATAATTCTATTTATGGAAAAATAATTAGGCTCTTTTACAGTTCTGTAATAAATATATCTGATATAATTGGATAATTAAAAAAAAAGAACTGCACTCGTAACATTTCTTTCCGTTTCTTTTGGTTTCCCCAAAATTGCTTCTAATTGAATAGGAGTTCATTTGTTCGATTTTGTGATTAGTAAATTGTGTTATTTATCGCAGCTCATTTTTGGCCACAACAGAATATTAGTGTTTTGCTCTTTTTAGGGCAAAGCAATAAGCTTAGTTGTGACCATTTTGTGTTACTGTGGCACACGCATGAAGGGATTTTTTTTTTATTAATTTTATGTATTTGGTTTTAATTTTTTTAATTTTTTGTACATGTATCTTTCTTTTATGTTTTTTTACTGTGCATTTATGTCTATTGTTGTTTGTGTGCCATTAGTAATGCAAATAAATTATCTATCTATCTATCTTATGTACCGCTTAGATATATGTATTTACTGCTGTAAAATTGTAGATTAACTCAAGCATTATGACAAGTTGTTGCGACGCTAAATTGAAAATGTATTACAGTAAAAATTCGTTACTAATGTTATTTAAGTAATAAATTTATATTATCGAGAAATGGGTCAGTACGCTACGTATTTATCACTTGCTACGACTGTCAGAGAGATAAATTGTCTCTCGAGAATATACTTGTACTGTTTTCTGATATAAAATAATTAGAATTTTATGCAAGTCATATAGGTATCAAACGTATTACCTGTATCAATTCTGACGTAAGGTAATGTTATGTCCTGCGTTAGAATTTGAAGAATGGGACTTAATGTCTTGCTACATTTATGTACTCGCATACCTATGGAATGATATGAAAGCCATAGTTGTTAATACATAGTCAAGGACAGTCAGAGTTAAAAAAATGATAGGAATTGGAAGAAGCCTACATCAAAAAAGGCGAACGGATTCGATTGTCGATGTTAAAAAGTAAACTAATTAGAATTAAGTAAAAGTGTAATTAGCCGACTATTTTCTTTTATCTTTATTTCTCAGCATTAGTCTATTATTATTATACCTATGGTATTATAGGAAGAGTTTCTGAAGATGATTATTTACTAAATATGTCAAGTATAAAAAACATAGAGATTACACTGACAATATTTGTCTACAGTTATTGAGCGAGTGCCTCGATATTCGATATGGTGTATTTGTCATGGTTGTTTATGGATCGGTTTTACGTTATGGCAAATTTGTGTGTTTTTTGGTAACCTAATAATATTGTTTACATTAAATAATGTCTCCGTTGTACAAATAGGAATCCCTTTTTCAAAGATAACAGTCGCTTATGATTTCAATCATGGGCACTCCAAAACTTTATATAAATATATATAAATCAGCCGTCTGAACTGGTGTTATAATAATTGATTTGTAGATTTGTCATTTTTATACACTGTTTTGTTCAGATTTTTATATTTTGAGAATTCTTTAAGATATTTTTCTTATTTTACAAGATATATTTTGTTTGTAACTTGATATAGCGATTTCAAACATAGCTTGATAAGGTTTTAGCGTAGTTATAAAATAAGTTTCAGGTTTTGGGAACTAGTTTTGGCTATAGTCCAAATACAGCTATTTCTGAATCGTGTAACCACAGCAGTGAATTTAGTAATAGAATTAATTAAACTTCATCTCACATTGTTAGTTATTCTCAGTTTTGTGAAAACGTATGATTTTTTTAACTGTTCTGCTAAAGGACATATGATTTATTTAAAAATAAATAATGAATGACAATGATTTACGTTATTCGTAAAAGTTGAAACATAAAAATATTAATTATATACAAAGACAAATTAAGTTAAAACAATTAAAAACTTCCGCAAAATAGTTTTTAAACGTTCGTATAAGGACATATGATTTATTAAAAATAAATAATGAATGACAATGATTTACGTTATTCGTAGTGTGAAAAAAATTAAGTTTTTAATAATAATAATAGATGAGAACCTCGTGAAAGCCGAAATCGAGAAAAAAGAGAAAAATTCTTCAAGGTGACCGAAAATGGGGGTGACGTCCACTGAAATCATTCCAATCATTTTGTCGGTGAATGGTCTTATCCCAACTAGTCTGGAACAACATCTCAGATGGATGGGATTCCGAGGCGACTTACTCCCGGGAAAGATGCAGAAAGCGGTGCTCTTAGATTCTGCCCGCATTGTACGCCGGTTTCTCTCCCTGGAGTCCTGAACTCCGATTGTGTGCCGGGGGTAAATTTACAGTTTATGTGAAAAAATTTTAATAATAATTTATTTATTCTTTTACAAACGTAGTTACATTACAGGGTTTGGTATTTCCTGTTAAGCAAAGATTGCTTGTGTTAGGAGAAACCGTTCTTTCATAACAATATATATAATTCATAATCTTTACATTTTTTTTTTATTGTAGTTTAGTATGTATATATTTAATGTAATTATTGCTATTACCAGATTTCAGCCTAATATGCTCATTACGAATACTCCACTGTAATAATATAGATTTTCATACATACAGCACACACAAAAGTCTGTCCAACTGTCCAAGAGTCCAAGGTTTCATTTCTTGCACGAGAATTAGTATTCAGCAGGTGTCATTCAGATGGACACGTCTGACGTTAACCGTTCTTTATATTGTTAATTTGAATCAACTTCCTACATTGACAGGATGCTGTGATAGTGCTATGGATTTGTGAGCCTGGATGGTAATATTAACTAGTCTGTAGATGCCTAGATAAGTATTAGTTGATTGTTGCCTTTAAGTTAATAAAGAGTTCTTTAAGTTCTTTTTCTTTGTCTTGACTTACAAACACCACTATTTTGTTTTTTTTTTTTACAATTTTTTACAACAATAAAATATAAGCTTTGGATTGCTATCATCATTTCAGCCATTAACTGTCCATTGCTGAATATAAACCTTCCCTTTAAGGGTGGTTTTGCTAGTAGTTGCCACGGTTGGCAGTTTGCAACCGCAGTTAGGCTTTTAGAGATAATTTAAGAGGGCCGTTGCTGTCCATCCTTCTATTATTAAGTTCCCTTAGGAAAAAGAAGGGGCGGCCTTTTCTATACCGGGACTACACGGCCAATTGGATTGCTGTAGATAGATTTATACTACTTAGGAGATCTATTTATTATATAAAGGTCAGTCTAGGTCTTATCCGGCATACGCATTTACTTCCCTATCTCTTTCTAGTGTCTACTCGTATCTAATGTCCATGAACTTGACTTGAGATCTTGTCTTTCTTTCTTTTGCTTTTATAAATGTAGTAAAGGAATATGTATGGAGCTGTACGTAGTCAGCGATGTCGCAATTATTATTGTATATATAGGTAAAGTCATCATATTAAAATTATGTACCACAAAAAATACAAAAATAAAAGAACTAGCTAATGATAATTTCAATATTGTTAATAATGGATCTATTAAAAATGTCTAAGTTTGAAGTAATCAATCACAAGGTTTTGTTATTGAAGTGTCTTTTATACAGGGAAATAATAAGTCAATTCTAAGAAATTATAAATACTTATGTAAACAAATCGATTATTCTGTTACATCATGCAGATATTTTATAGACGTTGTTACGTTTGACATGAAAATACTGGCATATGATTCGCATGACAATACAGACAAGATTATGTTTAAAATATTGTAAGTAGGTATCATACAGAAAACTCGGTATTCGAATTGTGTGACGCTAAGCGACTTGTACTCACAATAAATATCTTAAATCAGAGAACTAACAACATTCTGAATTCGTGCTAGTCTCGGAACTGTGTTGAGATTCGTTTGAATTTGAAATTTTATTTTTATCTATCTATTTGCGGAACGGAACAACCAGAGGACGTCTGTTTAGTTTTTTTATTTGATACAACTCATAATTATGCAACATCGCGCACAAGTCGAGGCGTTGTTGTCAATTCATCATTGTTTAATTTTACATTAGTTTACGTTATACCTATTTAGTTTAGATTTTAAGAAATCTGATAAAAATGTACTTGTAATAACAATAAGGCAATAATATATTTTACTAATATACATTAATCTCTTAAACATTATTTTAGATAAAATAGTCAAAGGTCTTGTATACTATTTATCGTGAATGTAATTCAATCTTTTGGGTATCACATAAAACAAAATTATCTAGATTAAACGATGAATAGTTTCTTGAAAGAGCTTAAAGATCGGACCTAGTGATAACACGCGTATGTTGTGCTGTCCGAAGCAATAAATTGATTAGCTTATCTCGGGGTAAATGGCAGTAATCAATGGAGGACAACAGTTTTGTTTGGATGCAAGGAAATGGGGTCAATGCTACCGTTGCCAATTAGGTTGTAGAAGGAGAATTATAAGTAATGAAAGATATTTCTATTATGTTTTACTGATGCCGATCTAACGCTATTAATTCAATCTTGTTATTGTCTAAATCATATTTTACTGAACCTGTTTTTATTTTTTGTTACAGACAAGTGTTATCGCACATAAAAAATATACCAGAACTGATATTACTCGGAAGTGAATCTGCAACGGGACGAAGGCTACCAATATTTTCACTAATGGTAAAACACCCGCGAGGCACTTTCCTCCACCATAACTTTGTTTGTGCTGTATTGAATGACGTCTTTGGAATTCAAGCACGAGGGGGCCTCAACAGCAATCTCAATTATGGTTCAGATATTCTTGGAATAGATGAACAACTACTCAAGGAATATGAGAAATTATTGAATGTTGAAGCGTAAGTATTAAGCAATGTACTATTCATAATTTTGGCAGTTTGACGGGAATGCACTTAAATAGCTGTGTGCCAGAGTAATTAGATACATTATCTCTCATCATATTTGCCAAATTAAATTACATAATTGACTAAAATAACTCATATAGTATTTAATTAACGAAATTCGTTCCTTATAACTAGTGTTAATAGTGCATTAATAGTGCTTCGAAATAAAATTTCTAGAATTTTTTTATAAAAGATCTAAAAAATATACATTTAAATTTCCAAAAAAAGCATAATCTGTATTAACCTATATTAAGCTCTGTGAAACCTATTGTTATTTCATTATGTCGAAAACTTTGAAAAAAAAATTAATAAATTACATTAGTTAAAACTAATGTAATTTATTAATTTTTTTTTTTATTTTGAATGGATTTTGGTAATTAACATACTGCGTTTATAGATAATTTTTCAAATACGTGAAGGTATATGAACTTTGTTAAGATAAAAGTTGCTTTCTTGTAATTTTATTTAGCAAATCAAATCGTAAATTGCTTATTATAACCAGCTAACTATTAGGCTATGTGGATAATGGTAAATTAGTTAATATTTTAAGAATAAGTACTATTTAATTTGAATGCAATTTATTATTTTTGCATGTATATGGATAGTATATAAAAATGTAGGTAGATTATTTATAAGTTCTTTTACTCAAATAAATAACTACTATATTATATTTTATTGTTAGTTAATAAAATTTATCATTACTTTTCAGACAAAAAGAAATTGCTCGAGTTCGAAAACTTAGTGATGTAAAGGCTCCAGATGTACCAATTTATAATGAACATTTAAGACCAGGATTTTGTCGAGTCTCACTACCTTTTTTTATGTCAGAAAATGAAGTAGCCTTCGTTTTAGAAGCGTTAAAAATGGTTGCCACAGAAGGATGGAAAATATTGCCTCAGTATGTAGTAAACCCGCAAACCGGACAATGGAGACATCATTCATGCTCCGTTTTAAGAGATAGAAAATCATTGCTTTCCCTTAAATTCAGCGAAGGAAAAATCGTTGCACACGAAAGAAGAAGTTTCTGGTAAGCATAGAATAACGGTCACATAATACGCAATTTAAAAAATGTATTTGGTCATTAAAATATGAAAATTTCTATTCTGCAGGGCCAGGAATATTTCCTCAAACCTATACAGAATGTCTACAAACTGCAAGAAATTTGTTTAACAGAGCACGAAAACTAGCCATGAAGTGCTCAACTGCAGAACCTGAAGTGTCGTTTAACCCTCGAATAGATTATTTGAGATGGTTTATGTTACCTAAGGAAGCCCATGAACTTTTACTGGGTCGATCAGCGAATGTCAAACATATTGTGCCATTTGACCCTTCTGGTTATACAGGAGCGAGAAAAAGCCTGAACTCTTCAAGATCTGCAATCACTTCGTCACCTGTATTAGGGTCTTCTCCTCGACATTTTAGTCTTTCAGCCATTGATGACTGCCAAATATTTAGACTGAAGCAATCACAAAAGTTTTACTCTAGGGAGTCTAGTCTTAAAGAAATGTCCAACGAAAATGCAAAACCAAATCATCCAGTGAAATTTGCGGTTGGCGAAACAGTATCTCCGCTACGTTTATGTCCTCAAACAACGAAACAATCTCTACTCACGAGATCTAGATGTTATAGTTTAGGTTCAGATAGTCCTCCAGTTCCATTGAGCCCACAAACAAAGTTAAATCTTGGACTAAAGGAGGCTAGTCCAAATAATGTAATTGAATTACAGAAAACTGGCAGCTATTGTAACTGTGGTAGCCAAACTGATCTCCAATCGTTGGACGACCCCATGATCTCACCCGGAAAAGCATTCCCCTATAGCGCTCAAAACAGTACTTCTATATCCGATTGTAGCCAAATCGGACGCACATCTCCAGCCACATCATTAACGTCTCACACGTCGGAAGATCTGCATGCGTATGTTAAAGAGATGACAAAAGAAATAGCAACGGAGATCAAGTCAGAGATACGCGAAGTCATTTCTAAAGTCGATGACATCTTGGAGAATTCTGATGCGGTCGACCAGTCAAATCTTAGTCTGAATTCGATATCTAGTCAGAATGAAAGGAATTCAGTATCAGTAATAGATGTAGCAGAATATTTAATGGGAATGTCCAGAGAAATGGCATCCGAAGTAAAACATGAAATTCGTGAAATGGTTAGTCAAGTTGACGAAATGATCTCTCCGGATTACGTAGGATATTGTTCAAGAAAATCGTCACCGCCTCGACTTAGTCGACAGCGAGTCGGTTCGGGTCCTGACCTGGGGCTTGATTTAAAAAAATCCACACAAACACAATGCTTAAAAAAATGTTCGACAAGTCCTGTTTTACCATCTCAATACATTGACGATGATGAAACACGATTTTGCAAGAGATCGCCATTGGCACAGTCTCCAAAATCTGCTCAATGTACTCCTTCTCACGAGGCTTCTGGCCCAAATAGCATTTCATTCAATTCCAGTGAAACTTCTACACCAGATACTATTATTCAAGTTGTAACAACAAGTCAAAATTCTCCTAATCTTCCTAAATCTTTGAGTTCAAATAAGTTGTCGGACGAGGAGACTAGTTGCAATGACGTTACATGTAGACATTGTTGCATTAAGAAATCTTGGTGCCAAAATCCTTCAGTAAGCTCTCAGGATAGCGGAATTAATATGACTTTTACGGAAACTGACTCTTATGTAGAATTTGGTAAGTTTGGTAATTTTTTTTTAAATATGTGTAATACTATTTCTCAAACAAGAAAGTCTTTTTATTATTTAGCCGACTGTAACGGTTATTTAATTAATTTGTAATTTTAACATAAAATAATGTCTTTCTAATTTTTAAGTTTGCACAAATTCATATTTATATAAGTTTTAATTTTAGTAGGTGTTTACAGTAGAACTAGTTAATTAAGTCTAAAAATTGATACAAAATATAATTAGATTTAGTTACTTAAAATATAATTTGCTACTCTGAATTTTAATAGAACTGATAATTAGAGATCTTTTTTTGTTAATTCTGTTTTATCGTAAGCAAAACATAAAAAAGACATTTTACTTAGGGAAGTAGTAGTGTATAATATAGGTTACTTCTTAAATTTATCGAATGAAGTGTTGGTCTACGTAAGCTACTTTTTAAAAGAAATTTTTTATAACTTTTAATGTAAATAGTCTTATTTAATGCCCATAGGATGCCCTTTATATGTTCTTATAAATATACCTATTTGATGTATTAGTTATATAATTTCAGTAAAATGGCGAACTTCTTCAGATCCAACAACAAATAAAGCGAAGAAGATTCAGAGCAGACTTCGAATATGTCAGAAACACGAGAAAAGTGAGGTGCCGGATATAATTGAAGGAGTGCCGGTTTGTTCCGGGGACCATGTAAGGCAGACTACTAGATGCAAAGACACCAGTGCAGATTCCGGAAGAGTGGTTTTTCAAATACCCGATGAACCAGACAGGCAGAATAGGTAATGGAATAACTTATATTATTCATGATTTAAAATAATCAATACTAATAAAAACTCAGACAAAACTTACTAGAATATAATATCCAAGATTAAGACATTATTCATTGCCTTATGCTCCTATCCATTAAACAGAGACACATTTGTATGTAACGGTTTATATAAAAGTATAACTGAGTCAAATAGCTAATGACGGCAAAAATACGAAGGGAATAAAGATATTCATGCAAACGAATTTTGTACAAACTCTCTTTATAATATTATATTCTTAAGTAAATTATCGTAACGCACATTAATCAAAGTATTAAATCTAAAGTGTCATAACAGACGTTGTCCTTACCTATATCATGTATAATATAATACAAGCTATTATCAAGTTTGCGTAATAATTATGCAAACTTAATATTATTAATGTTGATAAATCAGTACTTAGTAGACACAATGATTCTCCCATTCTCTTGAAATAAGAAAGCATTATTATATAAAAGAAAATGAATAAGAATAAAAAGTGCGGTGGCGAAGGTGAATAAACTTGACGATATCAGAAATTTGAACTTGGCAAATGTACTCAAGTTTAAATGTAACGAATGTTGTTCGCGTTAATAGATGGTTGGCAATTACTCAAATGTCTACTGCGGAAAAGTAGTTTTTCATTAAAACCATTATTCATCTTGCCAAAAACTAGTAATTTGTTATTTATACAAGTATCTTTTAAACGGATAAATTGGGGATTATTCAGGTCATTTGGTGCAATTACACCAATTTCTATAAAAATTCTTGAAAAGTCATAAAGTTTATGTATACCACTTAAATAAATCATTTTATGATTTTTAGTAACTGACGATCTTTGTCTGAATTAAATGAATTTGCCCACTAAGTCTTAAAAATACCTTTTTCATTTTTTTAGAGCTGTAACATCGGTGACGGATTCAAAGCGTTCAAGTAGATCTTCCAACGCGTCGTCCAGCTGTTCTGATCGTAGTTCTAGATCTAGTGGTTATGGAACTGACCAGAGACAATCCCACGATGAGAATTGCTACGAAAGAAGGTAAATTAAACAATAAAAAATTATAGTGCTTTTAATTTTAGATGTAATTACATAATTTGCATTGAGTCAAATTTTAGTTTATACTTAGGAAGCTCAATTTAAATGTTTTGTAAACTTGAAGAGGTACGTTAAGTGCGGATTGACTACCAATTATATTTACATTTCAGAAAAGAATCATTTTGTAAATATTTGTTTTGTGTTTTAATTGAATCATTTACTTAGTAACCATTTTAAAATATTCTATTGAGACTACAAGAATTTAAATAAAAGAACATTATAATTTGGAAAAAGAATAGAAAATTAACTTAAAAGTTGGACTTTGATTGTGAAAAATGCATGTACATTTTTTATTTTATTTTTTTATTAAATAAAAAGTTTAAAACATATTAACTTCTGTTGATGTTTTTTTAAAGAATGGACAAATAGGATAAGGACGAACTAATTTAATTGAATACGCTATTTTCTATTGCAGTGAGTCAGAGTGCCGCCTTTTAAAAGAGGACTTCTGTTGGGAAGAGGATCAAGATGATAGTAGTGCTTGCAGTGATTCTTCACTAACTGACTTCACTTTCGACGATGAGGGCAAGTGGCACTGCCCACCAAAACTAATATGGAAGGCTACAGTGGAGGTACGATTTAAATTTTCTACATATTCGACTATTTGTAGACCTTTATGCGACTGTCATAAAACTAAGAAAATAGAGAATATTTTTTTAGTACCAAAGAAGGTTGATTTAAATTAAAGGAAGCAGTCTGGCCAGTGTGGTAAAATATCTCATCTGATGGAGATGGTATTAGTAGGTAGGTAGTAGGCACAGATAGATTTGTGGTCAGTAACAAGATGTTTTGTGAGTCGGTTGGATACGTGATATGTCTTGTCATGTTCTTATGTGAAGCAGCAAATGTTAAATAAATCCATGTAACAAATATATCCATGTGCGTCATGGCATTGTTTGGGAGAAACATCAAGTACTTTAAGGTACTGTTGAAATGCAATGGGTACCATGGTTACAATTGTCCCCTGAGGTAGTCTACAGCTAAATTGATTAGCATTGTCATTAAGATATGCATTGATAAATAGAATAGTTGGCAAGTCGTTTTCAATGTTCATGGCAATTAACAATACCTTTGAATAACTCATCTTTTATTAGCATGTAATTGTTAGAATATTTGTTTAAAAGTTATATATGATTACGTAACCGATCATTTGTAAAAGGCAAATAGTATCTAGTAAACATGGCAGCGAGTATCAGAAAGCGATTTGAATATAAAATATTCACTGGAGGTCGATAAAGAATGCGACGGGTTGCCTTGCATACAGAGTACTGTCGAATTGTTTCAATAGAACTTAGCGACAATACGGGCATATTAAATTTTTATGTGCCGTTTATGTGCAGTTTTGTATTCTAAAAGGCGAGCTGTGTTTAAAATTAATTATATATCTACACTTATCCTTTTTTTTTTCGGAACTGACTTATTTATGATCCAGGTGGCAAGGTGACTTCTATGATTATAAAAAATACGTCATTTTTCGGTCATTTTAGAGTCAGTACACGGTTATCAATTGACACTTTTTATTTCTTTTTTGTATGTTACATAATCGAAACAATTGCGAAACTATTAAGTTTCGACAATTCTGTAACAATTTTGACCTTTAATTGAAAGATGTCTTTCTATAATTCGAGTCTAATTTAATTAAGATTAAAATCGATTTTTTGGGGAATAAAATATGGAAGTGTTTTTTTTTTATTTGTATAATTGTTAGAATAATGATGGACTGCATTTGAATGATTAATTTCATTGCGTTTATTTTCAACATTATAGGCAATCCACGAGTTCAACATGATCAGGCCAGGGGACAAAGTTCTCATTTGCTTGTCTGGTGGTACAGATTCCATAGCGTTACTACACACCATTCACCAGTATCAATTCTACGCTAGATCTAAGGGGATACACTTTAGCATTGGTAAGAATTTTTTTTGTCGAAATATTTTTATTTTTACTCTCAAAGTTAGCTGCATAATATTTGTAAAACAATTTATAAAAAAACAAGATGATAAATATTTATTTATATTTTTTTTAGTCTCGTTTATTTTTTTATTTTAGTTATTTAGCTCAGCTCCATTTACTTCTAAACTGTACTAGCAGAAGTTGTCCTCTCATAGTAAAAAAACTGAATTTTTTAGACAACTTATAAATTTATACAAAAAATATACATTCATTTAGTGATACATGTGAATACAAATGCTTATTTTGTGTGAGGATCGAACTTGTATTCAGTGCAAGTGAGTTGTGTTGTGAGCGAAGATGCTGGTAAAAGAAGTGCCGGCAGAAGGTAGTACTCTTGGGTAAAGAACCTGCAGGAGTGGTTTGGTTTGGCTGTAGCACTACCTTACTCTTTAGAACAGCAGATTAAACAATTAAGATTGTTCTTATATTGTGAAATTCAAAGAAGAAAAAGAATATCCTAGCCACGCGGACGAAATTGAACTCTCACACAAGTCTAACTAGAACTATACTAATAGATTTACGCATTGTTACAGGGGCTTTGTTTGTACACGAGGATAAATCAGAAGTTGACCCTCTTCACCTGATGGCTTACTGTCGAACTCTTGGCGTCAAGTTGATCTATCAAGACAAATTAGAGGATATTGAATCGGAAGGTACGTTTTGCTACGATAAGTCTGTAAAAATATTAATTTGTCTTGGTCCATTTATTCTATGTAAAAAAAAAAAAAATAAACTGTTGTGATTCTTCGCTAGTTTATTATAAAACTAATGATCATATAAAATGTCTTAAATGGTAATTTTGTCTAGATTTTACAATTGGAACCAAAAGTATCATTAAAAGAAACGCAACTGATAATATCATGCGTCAACGATATGGTTTCTTTAGTTTTAAAATAAATTACTTAATAGTAAATATAATATATTTACCTCACTAAATGCGCGATATGGTTCGATTATTTTGCATGTGTACTAGCTGTAGTTAAAAGCAAATATTAGAGACATGATTACAAATTGACGCATGGTAACTATTTAAATAACTAATCATTTTAAGATGCAGTTGGACCGAGCGATCGAAAAGTCTTTATTCTTCTGCTTTTTAAATTTTTCTTTGATGGTCAGAATATTTTATGAATATCATTATGTATATTATACTAAAACGAAACTGAACAAAATTTGTCTGCATGGGTATCTCTGTCCCACTCGTGTTCCTGCCAAACTGCTTTTGCATGGCTGGGTTTCGATTTGACGAGTGGAATATGGCAGTGTCATTACAGGGCACGGAGACATTATATAGTTCTCAAGTAAAAGGCAAAATGGCTACTCTCCATTAGATTGATTGTTTACTATATTGTAAGTTGCATAAAAAAATTTTAATCAATATTTGAAATCAAATGCAACCTGATCGTTCTGCGAACTGATTATTTTGTGCGGTGCAGGCGGTATACGCACGGGGCGTGCACGACGCTCGCTTCAAAGCTGGGCTAATCACGGTGTACGCCGGCGCGCGTACGCAGCGGCGCGAGCGCACGGCTACAGCGTGGCGGCGCTTGCGCAGTCGCTGGATGCGGCCGCGCGAGCTTTCCTTGCCGCGTTGTTCCACTCAGGCGCACTAGCAGCACTCAAAGCGCACTACAGAGTCAAGTTAGTATTACCAGTTTTTGATAAACAGTTACATGCAGTTGTACTTACTTGGCTGTCTTTTGGTTTAAATAACGAGTAGTAAAATATAGGCTACGAAGGCTGTTTTAGTTCTCAGGACTGGCGACGTTTAAAAACTATCAGTGTAAAGAAAATTTTGCGGTGTCTTTGGTGCAAATCATGTTTATAATAGTTTCCATCAAATAGACTATCAGTTTTTTGACAGTTGAAGTAACTAAAGTAATTTAATCGAATACGGCAAACGCAGTGTAGGGCAATCCCCCAACTAGATGGAGTGACGACCTAAAATGAATTGCAGGGAGTCGGTGATTGCAGGTGACTCAGAACCGTTCTTTATGGCAGTTTATGGGGGAGGCTTATATCCAGCAGTGGACGAATAATGGCTGAAATGATGATGAAAGTAATTTAATAATATCAATTCGCATAGAATTATGACAAAAAAAATAATTAATTACAAAAAAATATGAACGAATATAATTAATAACTTGCAGAGAACACGACATCCGTATCATACGACCGTTCATCTACGTACGTTCGCGGTCGCTGGCCGCGTTCGCGCGCGCACGCATGCTGCCGGACTTTCGCGGCCGCGACGTGCGCTCGCCGCCGGCGAGCCCCACGCGCAGCGACGATGATGACACGTTAGTATTGAACTGAACTATAATAACATCTATTAAAGTTTATATTCCCTTGACTTTCGCCCAAAGAGTAACATGAGCATGACATATTAAGTCTCTTCCTCTAATACAATAGTTTATGGTCTTATATATTGCGGTATTAGAACAATTCTTTTCCTCGAACTCTTAGGCTGTGAAAAGAGTTTCATACCCTAATATTTTGTAGACAGTACAGCATGCGGATATTCAAAAAGGGGTTGGTAATAAAGGTTGCAACGGGCACGTGATATCCCTTGAATTGCAGACGCCCATAGGCTTATAGAACTACTTACCATCAGATAAGCCGTATACTTACGCTATCACAGATGAACTAAACTTCGTCAATGGCATGCTTTGCTTAATACAGACATAAGCAGATCCTTATCGATATCCAGTCTAACCTTTATTTATTGCCTCTATGTATTAGAGCATGTGAAATATGTTTATATTCTATTTAATATTCCATTTTTACTTATACAATAATTTTAATAATAAAATCTCTTCAAAATACTCCACGTATTTTATTATAATATAAACTTATATTCACAGTAAAGAACTGGGCCATATGGAACGATCAATATCAGAGCCTTGCGGTTCGACTGAGAAGCAAGTGTTCACGCAGGCTCGCCGTTCACTCGACGAGCCGCTCGACGAAGCGCTGGATCCGCTTGACATGGCTCACGACTTGCTCGGCTCACAGGAACGGATTCATCCCTACTTATTCTCTAGCTTGAAGAGCGCATTGCATCCGCTTATAAGTGCTAGGTATGTATGAGTAGATTTTATTTATCTTCACGCTAAGTTCCTTACGATGTAGGCAGAACTGAGTATCAAATGTCTGTCCTAACATAGGATTTGAGTGGTCTTAGTTGTGTTTCTAGATGTTTCTTGTCTAGTTTCGCATAACATAAATAATTATAATCCTCTGTTACAATAACAACTTGTCTCATGCATGCATGCTGATTCCGGAGACTTTTGACTCGTTCCTTAGATTTAGATGAACTTAAATTTTAAAATCAGTAAACCAAGTAGGAACATGTTTTTCTTTAGTAGGAGTAGGATAATCTACTGTTACCATATTAGTTTAATTTCGAATTTGATCATATTTATACGTATTGCTAATATTTTTAATATGAGTACATATTCATTTTATATTTTATTTTCAGGAAAGATCTGAAAGAAAATAGACATAGAAAGAGATCGGTGATCCAAATGAAGAACGGAGCGCCAGTATATGACTCCGAAGAAGGTACCGAGGAAGAACCAGTGCCATAGACAAATGTCAAGTTTCCCGCCAAAATGTGCAACGTCAAACTACTAGTTGTACTTTATCGCGTTAATAGAAATTTGTGATTATTCAGTGATCGTGTATTCATTATTGTGATGAGGGCGTTTATTAAATAGTGTTAAATGAATTAATGTTATGATGTTAGATCGTGTGTAACGCGAATGAATTAATTATTTGAACAGTTTGAATTTGTACTTTGTTTTGTTGTATTATGTTTGGTATTGCCATACGATAAACTAAACTACTTAGTGGTAACTTTTATATTTTTGACAAATTTGTAATTGAGAACAAAGTGCATTTGTTACAGTCTGCTATTGAATGATAGGGATTATATTTTTTAATGTTAGTTTTTACGTGTTGAGATTGTTTGAATGAGAATATGTATATTGATTCCTATTTATACTGTCATGTTGTTCGATTTAAATAGGTACACATGATAAAATATATGATGTTCAAAATTAATACCTAGATTTTATCGTTATTTCTAGTTTTGAACTAGGCTCCAGTTGTAGCTGGAATTGGTCCCAATAGTATTAAGTATCAACAATACAGATTGGTGCAGTCGGTACTAAAAGTCGAGTACTACTTAGAAATTTATAAAAAACGCTATTATATACACAGATCAATCAAAAAGATTCACAATAGAATTGGATGGATACCATTAAAGGACGAAATTAGCTGAGAGCAATCGTTTATGTATACAAGGGTGTATAAACATTTTGGAATTTTTGATATGTTGATAGACTTTTAATTCTGACTGTACCAATATCAATACATACTAAATAAAATAAAATTTAAGCTGAGCTATCTATACTATGTTTACTGCTGTGCTCACAGTCGTGTTCATTATACACAACTGATTTTACATAGAAGTTAATAACATTCTAATTATCCTATTTCATTAATATATTAATAAGTAATACTTATTGGAACGACATAGATTTAATCTATGAAAAGATGGAGAAAGTATCTGCTGTATCCATGTATGTATTAGGTGTTATGAGTAATTGAAAAATGATAGATTATGGATGAAATGGAAGCTAAAGATGTGACGAAAAGAGTACTAACTTTTAGCAATCGGAAATTAACCAATAATATTTATGAAACTAAACAACTGTATACTCATGGGTCGGTGTATGAAAACAATTTTGGTACATTTTTTAATGTATACTATGAGCGCCACTGTATGTACAATTCGAACTATAATAAATCGTAATCTAAATATATGGAAGACTGCACAGTATTCTATTAAACACACATTACGTTTTAATATTATAGTTTCAACTGTATGATGTGATGGGACCGTCTGTAGCCTGCATAATAAATTGATACATGTCATTGTATGATTGCGGATCTTTTTTGTATTTCTTTAATAAAATTGTTCAGTTTCATAAATATTATCCCTGGATTTCCGATTTGTTTTACTTCTGTTATACGCTGTTTAACTTTTATAAGTTAAAACATATATAACTATAACAGTGAGTCAAATACGGTTTGTTTTATTACAACGAATAAATATAATTTGTGTTAATTTTATAACAGTTAATAGATGGCAACATTTATTAATAAGCGCATCTATTAATTTTTATTTTTACAGTTTAAGTTTGAGTTCGAAATTTAAATAGTCTTGAGGAAAGTACTAAAAAGAGTTTAGAATGGCTATGGTTTGAACTCTATTGTTTTCTAACTTCAGTATATTTTTTTGTATAACTTTTTATTGTTTGACTTTTGTGATGTCAAAGAGATCTATTAACGTTTTTCTATGTCGCAAGTCTATTCGTATTATATTTTATATGAAATGTTTATACGAGAATTATTTTCGTTTATTATAAACAGACAATATACAAATAAGATACCTGTTATCCACATAATATAGAGAGAAATAATTATATTGTTGACAAACAAAAATCCCATAATAATTGCTTCCATTGTAATAAAATAATCGTATTCTTATATATTTTGTCGTAAAATAAATAATGTTTTAATAGTACATTTTGTTTTATTCATAAGAAATTAGGTGTTCATATTTATAAAATCCTTCAAAAATGACTGTGATTTAATAGTATTATTGCAGATTTTAGCCCGTTAATACTAATATATGAATGAAACATGAAGTGTCTCAAAAAAATTATCAGCATTTCTATTAGTACTGTTTATAATCTATGGTGACGCAAATTTCTTTAAAAAAAAGTGCCATTTTTCTGTGTTGCAACTTATAATAAATTTCGTATCTATAACTGCACATGCTAACGAAAAGTGTATATTTATGTTTTGTCTATGATACAAATTTCCTCGCATAAAAATTGATATAAACCTCTATATATATATATCGGGCTAAGAACATTTTTAGAAAAAAAAATTGTCATATCAGTTGTTAATGGTCTATATGGAATATAGACCTCACCTTGGGGGCTTATGCCACTAGTTGCCACGTTTGGTTAGGTCTTGGTAATGTCTTAAGACGGATGCAGCTGCCTATCCATCAACCATTAATTTCCCTTAGTCGCCTCTTAAAACACCCACCGTCACCCATGGATTATATTATCTGTGTCCACGGAAAGGAAATGGGTGGCCACACGGCAAACTAATTCTAGTTCTTGGCATTAATATATTCTGTGGTGTCCTGTTTTGCAGTTGTACAACCCGCCACAAGCTAAAGCTTTATTTCGACCATCTGCATGAGTGACAGTCCTCCACCATGCATTTCTGCAGACACGAAATTCGTTTTCTTCCACGAACAACTAAAGCATGGAAGCAACTCCCAGTAGCAGTATTTCTGAACAAATACAAGACTGGAACCTTTCAGAAAAGACCGTATTCCTTTTTATAAAAAGGTCGGCAACACACCTGTAATTGTATTGTTTGTTTGTTTATTTGTAACATTTTGTTGTACATTAACGTCTTAAATTCTTAAAAAAAGAAGGTTTATTGATGTTTCGTGCACCTGAGCGATAATTATTTATCATCAGGTGAGCTGCATGCTCGTTTGCCCCTTATGTTATAATATAATAATAATATTCTGAAAAAAATTACTAATATTAGAGCCCCCTCCACACCTAATATTGCCTCTAATATCAGAGGTGTTCTCTAGAAATCTATCCGATTCTAGAATAAGGGCATACAGTATCCCATTCCTTTCTGCAACTGCAGTGTCCTCCCTTTCTCACATAAGTCTCTTATTCCTCTTATTTACCAATTTCCTTTACGCATTCCCAACGTTTCCTTCCTTTTTTCATCAATCCTTTCCTCTATACTGTAGATGACGGAAATCATCAACAAATGCATTCCCAAAGAGGGTTGACGTCAGGTAGGCGGCCGGTCGTAAGACTAAGCCAAATATTTTGTAATATGAATTAAAAACATATTACGCCGACCCCATATAATAATTGGGAGAGCAATAGGAAGATGATAATGGTGGTGATGGGGTGTGGAGGCATGCCACCCTAATTCTCTAAATGAGGCGTACCATGGGCGTTACAGCGTATTCGATGATATCCATGGTAAGTACTATATATTCATGGTCATAGGTGACAGTATGTCCTTTCTACTAGACTCATTACACGTAACATTAAAAATGAAAGTATAACAAGGTGTATGTAGTGTAAAGATGTTGCATCTCTATGCATCTTCTACCGAATTTATCGTGGGGAGTGCTCTGAGAAATTGTTTGAAATGATACCTGCTGCTGATTTTCACCACCATACAACCTGCCTTCAAACTAAAGCTCCAATTCAACCATTTGGATGAGTAGCGGTCTTCCACCGTCCGTTAAACAAGACACTTTCTTCCACGCACAGCCACTCTTTGGAATCAACTTCCAGCAGCAGTAGTTCCGAACCGATACGACAACATAACCTTCAAGAAAAGAGTATATTACTTTTTAAAAGGTCGGCAGCATACCTGCAATGCCTTTGGTGTTGTGAGTGATCATGGACGGCGGTAGTCACTTACCATCAGGTGAGTTGCATGCTCGTTTGTCTCTTGTGTTATAAAAAAATTTAACAATTTTAATAAATGCAATATTTCTAATGCTAATAGTCTATGATGGGTAAACTTAAAGAATACACAAGACAGCTTTATCAATATTTTATTATATTCATTAATTTGTAACCATTAGACACTACACAAATTATTATGCGTGTGTGCGTGCTCACATACAGACTTAACAATAATGAGTATTACAAGTACTAAGCAACTCTCCTTGCTAGGAAAGTTTTTAAACACTGAATGTGATAAAATTATTTACTACACTTATTATTTAGCTATAAGCAAACACATAACTTACCTACAGTTAGTAAATACAAATATGTACCTTATTATATAATAGATATAAAACTAAGTTTACTTTATTTCATGACCACACAACATTGTTTCTGTAATTAAAACGTATCCTTGAGACTACATTATACGTATTAAGGATTATAATATACCTATTAAATTCTAATATAAATATAGTGTAGATAGGCTAATTTTTAAAATAGATTTTTTTTTTCATTTAGATTAAAGAAACTTCAATCATTGTTTATTTCTTGCCGCCTTGGCAGCAAGGCTTGCCCCCTGGAAAAGAAAAATAAATAGCTAGTTATTATTTGGTATTTACATACATAAATAATTTCTTGAGATATTTAGTATGTATAAAAAAATCGTTCCTTGTGAAATCAGATGAAGGAATTTTCTATGGAAAAATCGTATTTAGTAGTAGGGATTTCTCAATCATATGGCAAAATTAATATTGACGAAATTTGGAAGAGATACCTATTAAAATTTTGAGAAAGAATCATCATCATCATCATATCTGATCTATCATCATGTCTACTGCTGAACATAGACCTTCTCATTGGGTGTTTTGCCAGTAATTGCCATGCTTGGCAGGCGGGTTGGCAACTACAGTTAGGGTTCTGTGATATTTTAAGAAGGACCCATTCGAACGAGAAAGAAAGGGATGGCCCATTCTATGTCGGAACCATATGGCCAATACCATATATTATATACCGTATTCACTGCAAATAAATATCATTTCATTTAAAAATGTGGGATTTAAATAATATAGGTCTATTTCAATACGTATCTATGCTTTCCTTGTCATTGTTTACTAGAGGACAGGCTGAGTTTTGTATTGAGGTATGTATGACAGTGAAATTACGTCTATATAAATATACTAGCGACCTGCCCCGGCTTCGCACGGGTGAAATGCTGATGTGCCATATTGATCTATATTAAATGGATAATGTATTTAAGATACTTATTTGGATAAAAATTACTGCTGTATTGCTTAAAATCGATCCGTAAATAAACCATTTTTCCCGTAAAATGTATAGGATAAAAAATGGTTATTGTGGGTCATCCTTAAGAGATAGATGTATACCCTTACGGACTTTTTTGTTGACCATTTTAAGGTATACAATACTGTAGTACATTATTTTGATTTATCTCGTGGGGTTCAGCCAGCGTTTGCAATGTAAACGCAAAAAATGTGTTTATTTACGACATCACATTAAAAACCTCTAAATTTATCAGTATTTCTCTACTATATTATGCATGTATTATACATAAAAACATATAAATAATAAGTCCTCTTGAATCACCCTATCTATTAAAAAAAACCTCTTCAAAATCCATTGCGTAGTTTTAAAGATTTAAGCATACATAGGGACGGATAGACAGTGACAGCGACTTTGTTTTATACTATGTAGTGATATAAATTCATGTCTGTGGACATTGTAGTCATACATACCCGAGGACTTGCCATCGCCGCATACGCAGTTTGGGCCGCAAGTGCAGCCGGCGCCGCAGGCGGCCGCGCCGCCTTGGCACGTATCTGTCGGACATATAGACAGACAGTCGTTAAGATATTAATGATTGTGTTAAACAATCAAAAATTCTTAAGTATTTTTTTCATAATATAGGTGGCAAACGAGTGTGCGGATCACCTGATAGTAAGTGACTACCGCTGCCCATGAGCACCCGCAACACCAAAGGCATTGCAGGTGTGCTGTCGGCCTTTTAAAAAGGGATATGCTCTTTTCTTGAATATGCTCTTTTCTTTTTACGAATATATTGTACTATGCTACTTAGGCTTATTAATACTCTTTTATAGTAATAATTAAGAAATTTCAAGTGTTTAATTTTAAGGCTATACATTTTATTATAATTTTATAAAATCTCATATGAATAGATTTACTCATGAACAGAAATATTTATAGCGTGCAAAGATCAAACCGGCCACTACTGGCACTATTTAAACTGTGGTGTGTGGTGGCGAAGAAAAATCTTATTTTTATCTAACTACTAAAGAAAGTAATATATATGTATGTATGTCCAAAATTATAGCGCAAATTGAAATTTATGATGTGATTTTAAAAGAAGGTTTCAGTCTCATGATTTGACGATCCTAAAATGACTAAAGGAGGATGTATTTTAAGAGAGCGGACGTTTTAAGGCTATCTGGAATAAGATATCTATTGTCAGATTCATCTAGCTGCGGAGAATGCAATCGGTTACAGATAGATAGCACTAATTTAAGTTTTGAAAAACCAAAATTGAAGAGTTGGGTTTTTTGTGGCATTTTTATAGTCTATAGACCTATATTATTATTATTAATCTCATCAAAAAAAATCATGTCATAGACAAAAAATAATAATAAGAACACAAAGATAATTGCAATTATTTATATTTATTTTTAAATAATAATGTGATTACAAAACAATAATAAAATAGGTGAAAATTTTTCCCAAAAAAAAAACTACTACTATTTAAAATCTGATATGAAAATATAGAGCCAAGTCTTTCCGTGTCTAAAATCTTTTGATATTTAATACATTATCTTTTGGAAGTAGAATTATATTATAATTTATTAGAATTTTAGCAACTTCCATGTATTTTAACATTTTAATTGGGGGAAAGGGCAGTGTTAGTAATGGGGAAAAAAATTTCATTGCTAGCAATGCACCCTAATAGATCCATCTCTACGCGGTTCCTCTTGAAAACTAT